GCGCCAAATAAAGCGAAATTAATTAATCGGAGATAGATAATTGCAGACAGACAGAGACAGACAATTCAGTCAAGCGTGGTAGAAAGTGAGTGAATCGTTGGGAATTATAGCGTGTGTTTAAGTGTGTGGAAATTAAGTGTATTGCAAAGTTGTATTGAGAGGGAATAAACTAGTTTTATTTAAGAAAGGACTTGTGTCGCTGAAGTTTCATCGGAAATAAATTATACGGAAAATTAACAACCACATTATAGAAATAGTGTTACAATTACTTCACTTTATTATTTTTACTAATCATTCTCTACAGCCTCAGTGTTTGTTGACACTCTGAGTGTTTCTTGATAGATCACATTAGAAGTTCTTCCTTATTTCTCGACCAGAATAGATTTATTGGTGATCCTAATCTTGAACACCCAATGTAAAACTGACCATATCGTTACGTCTCTGTTCGTACATTAGTATATTCTATCTATAGCCACATCAATCAAATAGATCGCATTAGTATATTTTATCTATAGCCACAATAAGAGGCACATCAATCAAATAAATCTCATCACTACATTCTATACCATGTCAAAGTGGAAGAACAATGTTTAAATGTTTCGGTTTTCTAGTGTTTTCCCATTTCAACAATATCAAAAACTAAGTCAATATGGGTGGGTGTTTACGTATGTATGCACCTGTCCTATATCCAGGGGCAAAAGGAGTGAATCTAGCGCTTGAACTAATAAATTAAATCAAAAATTGTATTTATATGCATAATATATTTCATACATAATTGATTTTACAACTATTTTATTTCACACCTACTTTATTCCACATTATAGAAATAGTGTTACAATTACTTCACTTTATTATTCCGCATTATAGAAATAGTGTTACAATTACTTCACTTTATTAATCCACATTATAGAAATAGTGTTACAATTACTTCACTTTATTATTCCACATTATAGAAATAGTGTTACAATTACTTCACTTTATTATTCCACATTATAGAAATAGTGTTACAATTACTTCACTTTATTATTGATCTATTTGATTGATGTGGCTATAGATAGAATATACTAATGCGATCTATTTGATTGATGAGGCTATAGATAGCTTCTGTAAAAACTGCAAAGTCAATCTGAAATTCCACTTCTTGGTAATGTCCTACAGACCCTTCACTGCACTGGAATTGAACTTTTTAGACCATGCTTAAGGAAACCAAAAGTCCATTGTAGCCATATGGAATTCCAATTTCTCTATCCATCCTTCTCATAAAAACATGTTTTATTTTCAATTGTGGTTGGAGGCTTTTCAGCCTTTGTTAACTTAAGTTCTTATTACTTTCTATTTAGTGCCGGGAAATTCATGCGTTGTTTTTTTTTTTTTTTGAGTTGAACATTTGTTTTAATTATGATATCCTTCAGTTTGTGAACATAAGTGCTGCTTTGGTTGGCTTGGGGTATACTTTTGGAATCCGTTGCTGTCCTAAACATTCTACTGTGTGAGATTTATATTGCCAAAGAAAACACTGAAAGCTCCCTTCTGGAAACTGTTGTGTCCTTTAGTTCTATATCACTTGACAATCTTACCATATTAATATCCTTTCTGGGTAAAGGTTGTTGTGTCATAATCCTCCAGCCATAAGCTACCTATGATGGCATTATACACTGAATGGTCATTGCATATATGTACTAAATATATTGACTGTGGCATCATGACTCATATGCAATAACACACCACTACATAAGTAGCATTCTGTATGATTTTTTAATTATTTAAATTGTGCAGTAGTAAACTAGTTTCTGAATATTCAGCTGTGATTGTTCCTGGAAGGTTAGTTTTTTGACTTATTGTTATACTGATTATAGTTTCATGAAAATAATGTTTACTTTTCTATTCAGATGGCAGAAGGGAAGCAAAGTCAGGTGGTTCTTCTAGATAACCACACGTTGGACATTTTAATACAGGTAAGTTATTTATACTCTACTTATCAATTGTGTGGCTTCATTAAGATACATCAAATTTAAGTACACAGTTTACTAATATCTAGCAGAAACAATTATGAAATAAAAGTGGATCCTTAAATAATTTAACTAGAATATTCATTGCTTAGTATGGGTAAGTGTTGGTGCAAAATGAGTATTATGAGGATGATAACCAAACAGCATACAAATATACACCTGGAAAAAAGTTAAGCACCCCCGTGTTTTTT